AAGCTCCTCGCCGGGTATGTCCTCCTCGGCTTCATTGTGATTGAGGTTACCTACTTCGCCGTGTATTGCCGACCGTTTCATGAATACTGGGCTGTTCCACCACAGGACGCACAGTGCGCGACATACCAACATTATTCCATCACGCAGGCGGTATTCAACCTTTCGTCCGATGCGTGCATGTTGATCATACCGATTCCCCTACTGAAAGGGACGCAAATGTCGCTTCGCAAGAAGATTCTCCTCGTCAGTGTGCTCGGGTTGGGAGTGTTCGTGATGATCGCCGCCATCCTGAACAAATATTTTAATTTCCACTCGCCGCTCACGACGATCTATCAGATCTGGTATATTCGCGAAGCCAGCACCGCCATCTACGTGGCCAACCTCATGTGCTGGTGGCCCCTCCTGCGCAAGCTTTTCGGCAATGTCTTGACACAATATCATAGTCGATACGCTACGAAGCAAGGGCATCCATCACATCCCTCCGGGGTCCTTTCCGGGGGTGCCAGCTCCACAAAGCCTCCGGCCGATCGGAAATATGTGAGTCCCAAACGATGGTGGCAGCCCAAGGGCCTTGGGGAGTCCTCTGCCCATGTAATTTCTACATCAGCCAGTCAGGAGGCGATCAATTTGCCCGTTCGTGACCCTCAAGCGGAAGGGCATTTGGAAATATGGCGTAAGGTGGACTACGATATCGAAGAAAGCTATGACGCAAATAAATAAGATCAAGCACTCCGAGGATTCTACTTTTCTTCTCCCTCTCCATATGTGATAATAACTCTATACTTCTCGGCCAGACAGCTAGGCAGCACGTAAAAACAACATCAAAAATATAAAAAAAAGCTAAATAGACGATCAATTACGCTGCATCAAGATGATCGCAATCAACGACAATAATAATCAAGCGGAACAAATCTTGGGCCGGACATGGGCTAAGCCACTTTACCGTGGGGCACAATTTATGCGGCCAGTTAATGCCTCTCATCTTTGAAATTTGCTTTCCAAATGTCTATCCATCGGGTGGGGCCGGCCACCAGCGTCAGAACAAAATTAATTCATGGTCTGGATGGCCAGAGGCCGCCGGATGTCTTTCCTTTCCATACACCAAGTGGAGTTGATTAGGGTTTAAAGGGTTTAACACTTTGGGCGGCGCGGGTTGGCCCGATCCCCGAGGCCGCGTTTTAGGGTTCCTACCCTGACATCGTGAGGTAGAGTGGATGAAGGGATTTCTTGTAATGAATCCCCGGCGTTGGCTGTCTCAAATTCATCTAAGTAAATTCCCTACGGAGTACGCTGGTTCGCATATACTAAACCGGCTCTAGTATTCTTTTGCACTATGTTTTTTTCGCTTCCGGTTCCTGTTTCCTGTACTGGTTAAGAGCTCGACGCTGCCGATGCGATCGACACAGCATTAATAACGCAATTTGACCATGCCATTCAGCAATTTCAGTTTCTTAGACTTTGGCCCTTGGCTATCCGAATGGGGGCTAAATTACTAGTGCTCCGGTCTCGGCAACTCAGGCTGCACTTTGGAGTCTTTCTGCCTCTTAAGTGCTTCACGCCGTCTCTTACGCGTAAGACTCTATAGCGTAATTATCAGCTGCAAAAATGAAGCTCACTCATCGGTTTCCGGGTGTGGCTATGAGTCGCTATACGCCATGCACAGTGCTCATGGTGCGAGGCGTAAATACCCTGTGAGCGTGTGTCGATCCCCCACGGCGTTCGGCATAGGGTCGCATCCAGCAAGCCCGCCGCGGCGTTCGACTGTTCCCGCGCTGAGCACTCCGTACTCCGTAGGGAATTTGGAGTTACCCGACCCATAACTTGCATAGCTTCTAATCGCTAACTAATGAACCTTCAAGTACATGAAGAACACCCTGTGAGAGCTCAGTACTGAGCTGATATCATTACTTTTTTGCCTGGGTGCCACCGTGACTATCATTACGGATGTTGCGGCTACTACCTTTTAATTCCCCCTCGCCCAGAATATATCATCCACGGTGGCACATAATATCCTAGCATTACAGCTGATGTAGATCTCACCGGGTCAATGATCGACGTGATCGGAATTGTCTTTCGTTCGAAGAAGCCCAGGCCGACATTGTAAGTGTGGCTTAGAAAACATACCAAAGGTATTACGTCCAATAAAGAGCAGGTCATATTCAGCATACTATCTGCATCAAAAGTAAACCCGAAAGATCCCATTCACAACTAGAAAGCACAAATATGCTCCTTCATATCCACCGCGGCCTATGCCTCCAAACACGCGGGACCACAGACCAGACACAATTATAGTGGACGAGGAACACAGCACTATCATGAACAACATAACATCAAGCAGTCAAACATAGCTCTCAGAAAAGAGGCTGGGCCGCGAAGCTCCATCAGCGGAAGCCGAATCAAATGATACCTGCGCCGGTAACGATGAAGTCCTTTGACTGAGCCAACGGACGCTCCTTGGCCTCCGTCTCATCGGCGTTGCGTCTGACGAAGTTGAATTGATAGCCATCGCTAATGGAATTAGGAAACTGATCACGAGGTGAGAGTAGTAGAACGTGTACATACTTTGCGGGAACACCGCTCACACCCTGAACATTGTAAGATTGGGCATCCCTGTTGATACCTTGATCGATACGCCTGGCATAGTTGGGGAAATGTCGCATGTTGACCAGCCAGAGATCAAAGGACGGATTATCGGTGCTAGATTGCAGACAGCATGTCAGCTCCCTGTCATTGTTCTCGATGACTGAGAATACGTAGCTTATAACTTACTTGACAGCGCTCCATGTGATCGTGGTTCCCGCCTGGAGGAAGATTCGATCACCCGTCACTGGAGTGCTGACCTCATAGGCTGCGACGGAAGACGCAAGAGCTGCGAGGCAAACGAGGATGAACTGCATCTTGGTGGTAATTGGGTGAAGCTGGGTGCTTTCACGAAAATTGTTCGAGGTTGTGGAGTATTCGTAAAGTGTGTTTGTTGATAGAGAGCGATGAGGCAGGAAACGGAGCAGAGCACAGCGGCAATATATACCCATCGTCTGGAAATGAGTATACTTACTTCTTGCTCATCTTTCAAGCTGTTTCCACTTGGACTCTGGATTATCGCCGAAGGTACATTCTACTCAACCGGTAGCCGAGAGACCTGAAACCCAAGAATGTCAATGCAATCCACTATCTACTGTACGTACATCCTCATGTCCTGATCAAAGAGTGCTCACCGTTATCTCGTCGAATTGCAAATTGTAGTGACGCTCTTTCATATGTAACTCGAAACAATTGATAGCCGAAGGAGTCATTCGGAATAGGATGATCGCCGATAAACTAGATAAGTAGAGAAAGAACTTCTGTTGGGATGTGCAGTCGCTCACCGTCCTTGCAGAAGTAGTTGCATTGCTATCGATACAGGACCAAGTATCTTGTCTCGCGCGTCTCAGCATCCAGGGATGTATATAGTTGGAGATCAAAGTTGTCTCGCATGCTATCCCACCACACGACTCAATCGAAATTCTCCATTGCAGAGGGAACATATATAGATTCAAGTGCAGATCTCTGTGTCACCAAACTCCCCGGCCTCCGGAACTTTGACATTGTAGCTGCCGAGAATGATTTTATATTCAACCATGTCTGCCTTGGGTCAAACTTGGTAACGTAAAGCTTGCCTGCATGCGCTGTTGTCCGAAGTTTCAACTGTACGCAAATGTCTATGGCGCGGAAGGTAATTATCGGACACCGAGCTACTGCCAAACGCTACGATCCTGAGCATTCCATATGATGCAGTTTATGGTACAATATCTCAAGTAACTTTATACGCAGCTGGGTGTCATGGTCTACTCGATGTGTAAGTACAAATTAGTCAAACTGCAGTAGCTTTACATGTCTAGGAACCATGTAACGCGACGATATCGAGGAGAAGTGCGCTATGGTCGCTGGCCTGACGTTAACTGCGTTCAGGGTGCACAGCCTTGAGTTCATGGATGGTGAGCCTTCGCCAAGATGGCAGTGGTTTGTAAATATCTGGGCGAATGAATATTTAATTTTACTTTTGCTATTTTGCGATGCCCTTAGCAATGCTCAACTTGGTAAATTAAACGACAGGCATCAGAATATGTTCCAACGGAAGGCACTTGGAAGGATTACATGTTCTGTCTTCGGGTTTACTTATTATGATCCTGGTCACTCGGGGTTCCGTAATCCAGCTGAAGTGTCTGAGCTATATTCTTCATAACATCATGATACAGCTATAGATCTCGTAGACCATCTGAAGATTGTCATGATGAGTCACACGCTTTGGCAAGCTATACCCGTCCACAACTACTGTTACGGATTATTCTTATGTTGACATGAAGGAGTCTGAACAGTAAACAACAGGACTTGTCTTGGCTTCCAAAGAAGTCTTGCATAGAAGGACTATATTACAAGATATATAATAAACTCTCACACCTGGATATGTTATCCACTGGGGCGCTTATAATTGACACTTATTATGCCTCTATGTTGCATCAGGACGGAGTATAATTATGCGATGCGGATGCTACGACCGATGATTTTTAACACCACGTAAGGGACACTATATACACTGCAATATCTCACATGTGCTTTCTCTATGAGGAGCGAGAGGAAGGCGGGCCACTCCGAGAGAGCCTATTAACCATCCCAATTCAGTTCTTGCATTCCATGGTTCAGCGAACGAGGGGTTGGAGGTAGAATAAGTGGAAGTCATTAATCGTACCAGTTCACCGAAACTGAGAACGGTTTAGGTAGTAGAACTCTGTATCATCTCGATCATAACCTTCGAATCCTGATGTCAGCTTTTAATGTATTTTCCGGCATTTCATTGCAATGGTGTGCTGGGTCGAAGAGGCGGAGTATCACACTGGCTGTCGTTAGGGTACGCCTACAATATGTATCTTCATCTGTTTTCCACACATACATCTGAAGACCATATCTTTGTTCTTCTCACAGCTTCACTACGCTAAGGCAGAAACATTACAAAACTGCGAAAAATGGCTTCCAATTTGGACAAATTCTTCGATGCGTATGTAAAATCAATGAACCATTTACAGTGATCACCTCACTAGTGCAAAGGACAGAGTCGACGACCTTTCTTCATCCTTTAAAGACAGTAAGAGTTGACTTACCCCCGACTACCTTGTATCTATCGTGATGTGATTGACATGGGCAATTATAGGGCTGGGAAGGGCCATCCACATCCAATCGGTTTCATCAGAGGCCGATAAGAGGGATGAGCTGACAAAAGTAAGTTTACTCCAACGGACGCATCCATCTAAGTCGCTATGTATGGTTTGATGCTGATAAAGTCTTCTTCGCACCCTAGATGGCGAATTTTCTAGCGGACGAGCTCAACACCCTTGGGGCACAGGCAGAACCAAAGCTCCTGCCCAGCAATCTGCCACCCGTTGTCATTGGCCATTATCCGAAGTCTCCAGACCAAACGAAGCCAACTATTTTAATTTACGGTCACTACGATGTTCAGCCTGTTACAGTACAGCCCTGGCACTACGCGCCGTTTGAGCTTACCCAAGCCGGGGCTGTCGGTGATGAGCGATACTATGGACGAGGTACGACCGACGACAAGGGTCCCGTCGTGGCCTGGGCCAATGTTATTCAGGCACACCAGAAGGCCGGGGTCGATATTCCAGTCAACCTACGCTTTTGCTTTGAAGGAATGGAGGAGTCCGGTTCTACTGGACTCGCGGATTATCTTGCAAGTGAGGAGGGAAGGAAGATTTTCGAAGATGTCGATGCTGGCTGTATTTCAGACAACTATTGGCTTGGTACTAAGAAGCCCTGCTTGACCTATGGACTACGAGGGATCAACTATTTCAAAATCACGATCTCTGGTCCCCCAACTCAGTTACACAGTGGATTGTTTGGGGGCACTGTCTATGAGCCATTGACTGATTTGGTCACTCTCCTCTCGAAGCTGGTTGACTCTCAGGGGAATATACTAGTCACTGGAATCCAGGAAGATATCGAGCCTCTAACGGAAGAGGAGGAAGAGACTTACGATAATATCGACTTCACTATGCAAGACTTCAACAATTCAATCGGCCCCAACACCGATTGCGGAATCTTCAATAACCCTAAGCGAACACTCATGGCGCGATGGAGGTACCCATCTCTGTCTATCCACGGGTTCGACGGTTCAGCAAATGATCCCGAGACTGTGACCTCCATACCTCCGTGGGTGACTGGAAAGTTTTCCATTCGCACCGTCCCAAGTATGACTACAGAGCAAGTCACACAGCTGGTAACGAACTATCTCAAAGGGGAATTCGAATAGCTGAATAGCAAGAACGGCTTGGACATCAAGATGACTGATAGTGGCGAATGGTGGCGTACCGATCCACAGGCTAGGAATTTCAAAGCCGCTGAATTAGCCACACAAAAGGTTTGGGACAATGTGACCCCAGACCTGACACGCGAAGGTGGAAGGTTAGTAGACCGTGATCTTTACTTTGAGCCGATACCATGCTCTTCCGCCTGCAGGGTCTAGAAATGCCCAGTCAACCTTGTTGCGCCTTGATACACTTAGTCCTCACTACATATTTACTTTCTTTGGAGACTACTCTAGAAGAAGGCGCCTTCACGGCTCCTTAATATCGGCACATACCTAGGAAGCTAACAATTGTACAGTATTCCTGTCGCATTGGATATCCAGAAAGGGCTAGGTAGCGACGAAAGCTTGATGTTGCTTCCAATAGGCACCTCGAGCGATGGTGCACATGGTCCTGACGAGAACATGAGAGTTCAAAACTATCAGAATGGTGTTAAAGTGCTGGGAGCCTACCTCCATTATTTTGCAGAGAAAGGTATCGAGGAATAGCCGTGTCGCCATTCCTAACTTTTTCAAGCTTCAACTGTTTGTATTCGAGAATGCCTATCTTTACCTCCTTGCCTCTGAAAAACTGTTTCAGTATGGAACGCTATTTGTACGAGATTCTTCTTGATCAACCCTTTTTATTTTCGCTTGAATTGAAATGGCAATCCACGTACGGGTACAGCATGCGAAAAGGAGGAGTATGAAAGCAGTTGGTCCAAGAAAGGCCTTCCCTCACCCTCGTTAATGACAGGCCATAGTCAAGGAGACACACAGATATCGTCAATCCCTCTTCATGTCCATCTGAGTCCTTCAATCCTATTTGTAGCCTCCCAGAGCTATAAGCAACATCAATCTCATGGCCCTTAGGACTTGATGCGACCAGTATCTATTCAAAGGACGATACTCCAGATATACTATTTAGATGTGACATGCAATATGCTATATTCAGGCCTCCATTACAGTCACGCTTACCCAACGGGACAATGCATCTTGTAGTCCTTTTATTTCAATCTCGTCTGTCGAGACCCATGCGACGACACCATCAGGTCGCAACAATAAACCCTTCAGCCCGAATTTCTCCTTTGCGCTACGTCCACAGTATTGGACCATGAACTGTTGGGGATTTAAAGATTCCACAAACTCTGCTACCTGGCTGTTGCTCCCAAAGTCAATAACCAAGAAGCAGCCTTCCTCTAACATAGCTCCAAGTCGCAGCCCATCATCGAATTCAAAGTCTGGAGCGCTACAACCCACCAGTGCATGTGTATCGCCCAGCTCGTAGCGCAGTGAAAGTCCCCAGATGCGATCCGCGAGGTAGGTGGCCCCTTCTTGAGTATTAATCATGTCACGCATGACATCTGCGATGGCCTGGCCATATGGATCTGGGCGTAGTATCGCCACTTGAGCACGAGTCCACTCAAGCACTCGTGCGGCCTCTGGGTGCCGCTCTTGATAATAAGTGTCGAGCAGAGCAGCAGATGCAACCCCTTTAACGGTAGCCGCAAGTTTCCAGCCGAGATTCATGGCATCGCTAATCCCCGTGCTCAATCCTTGCGCGCCCAATGGGGAGTGGATGTGGGCACTATCGCCAGCTAAAAGGATGCGTCCTTTACGATACTCTGTTGCTTGCTTCGCGCGATCGGTAAATGAGGAGGCTTGACGAAGCGCTTTGACAACGATGTTTGTGTCCGACACTCGTCGGAGTATTTTTTGAAAGTGTTCCCGCGTAATGGGTTGAGACCGGTCAAACCCCCTATTGAAATCAATGACATGCAGATGTCCAGGCCCGCTAAATATATACATTCCCGAGCGTGTGTGTGTAAATCTTGGCTGCAATAACTCTGGCTGGTCGAGATCGCACATCGCAATATAACCAGTGAACTGCGCTTCTGTCCCGACAAATTCAAACCCAGCAGCTTTGCGAACTGTGCTGCGTCCACCGTCACATCCGACTAGCCATTGTGCCGTAAAGCACTCATCGCCGGCCCATATCTGCACGGAGACACCTTCATCGGTTAGTTGGGAGACTTCCCTTCCTCGAAGGATTTTGACACCGAGTGTCTCTGCGCGTTTCGACAACACAGTCTCGAGACGTCCAAGAGAGGTTGGGCCAGGAAGAAAAGACGGTCCTGGCAAGTGATACGGCCAGCGTGAAAAATCAATATTGTTGGCATTAACCACCAAGCCCGCAAAATGTCCCCCAAACTGGAAGCCTTGGGTGTTTTCGAAATGCATCGGACGCTTCTCATCACCCATGATCTCCTGCAACATGCCACGACGGTAGAATGCTTCTACTGATGGGATATAGAGGCCGCGACGACCAAATAATCCCTCCTTCCAAGGTGACTCTGGCTGTGTCTCACGTTCCAAGACGAGTACCGAGACACCAGCTGTGGCCAATTCACATGCGAGAAACAGTCCTACTGGCCCAGCACCAGCAATAATAACATCCCAAGTTTTGTCCATGATTTGCATCTTCACCGGCGGTTGGTTTTGTGATTTGACAGTGATCGAGCTGAGTTGCAAAACAAGCCTTTCACGAGTTGTTTTAAGTAGACCATCTCGGGGTTTACTAACTTCCGCTCGGGCTGTCGAACACCGACGGCGCATATGAATCAACCTCTTACTGACCCCTTTACTAGACCACAACCAACAAAATTTTACATCAAGAAGGCACCTTCGTGTATGGATATTGCTTGGACAAGACATGCCACGCACCATGCTGGACTTCCTCCATATTGGTCCAACACCTGTTAGCTTGGCTCATTCCTACAACCTGAAAGCGGCCTAGAGCTTAACATAACTTCAGTAAGACTAGAACACCATCAAGTCTCTCTTAGAGAGGGTTTCGTTATCTCGATGGCAATGGAGAGACCAAATAAACGAGACAATGCCAGCGGCCAACGACGGCTGATATCTATACATAGATCTCGTACTATCAACAAGATGACAACGGCCCTCTTGTAGATATTCATCAAGTGAACCATCTAACCATTCTTGTGGCAAGGAATGATCAGGGCCACATGTCCTGAGAATCCCAAGTGTTATAGCATCACGCGGTATATTTAATCTCTACATGTTAGACTGCAAAAGCATGTCCAGAAGTACATGTCTAGCAGTCTGGTGTCAAGCCCAGAAACATATGGTTTATAAGGCTCTAGTGGTCGGCTTAAGAGATGTTATTAGTTCTATATTCCTGTATACATATGCATGAAAGCCAGCTTCATTCCTCCAGCTCTTTGATTGCTTCTTCAATACTGGGAAGCCTCTGACGCCCCAGATTGAGCCTTCTACGCCACTTCGCTTCCTTCTTCAGCTTGGATCTCCGGCGACGAGTACGCGGATAATTTATCGGAGACTCTCCTCCAATAAAAATGAAAACGTCATACACTGCGCCTCCGGCCAGGGCACCAGATATGGTAGCCAGCCAAGCGCCCCAAAACCACCATCCTCCTCGTTCGGTGAATGTGCTTCCACCGTATCCTGCCATCAGGGCCACGAGGCGAGGACCAAGGTCTCTGGCTGGGTTGAAACATCTAGACGTTCGTTAGCGCGGCCGTCTCTCAGACAACTTGCAGACAAGCAGGAAAATACACACCCTCCAGTATTGTAACCGAACCCGATGGCTAACACAAAGATCAAGAGGCCAATGATGAACGAGTGCATACCCGCGCCAGGCGGAGCGTTGCTATCGTCACCCATTGCAAAGATTGTACAGATTAGAATAGCGGCAGCGACGAATTCGTTGAAGAAGGCCGTCACATTGCGGACGTACGTCAAGGGCTCGGTATAGAAGCTCAGACCAGTCGCCCCCATTGTGATGCCGGAATCACTGCTGGAACCGCTGTGGAAAATTGAATCGCGGTATATGCAATATGCAAGCCCACCGGCAGTAAGAGCCCCCAGAATCTGAGCAATCACATAATAGATACAGCGCCGGCCTGGAAACCCTCGATAAATCCATAGCGCAATGGAAATAGCCGGATTGAGATGTCCACCGCTGATGCCACCAGCGATATAGATTCCCACGGTAATAGCCAGGCCCCACGCCCAGTAAAGAGCGAGTTTGTTACCTGCATCACTTCCCCCAGTGGATATTGCCAGAGTGGCACATAGTCCGATTAACATCGCAACGGTAGTCTGCCCATCCCATCGTCAGTACTGTATCTCTTGAGCAATGTTCGAAATGGGTAGGATATCTTCTTACCCCTAACCATTCAGCAAAAGGCTCCCGCAATTGGTGCCGCACCATAGACCACTTGTTGAAATGTTCCGGCTGGCCCCCGTACGCCTTGCTCCCATCCTCCGTTACCTCGTCTTCCACGGGACGCGGCACACGGTCGGGGTGGTCCGCATTGGACATCTCTTGATGCAGCATTGTGTCATCCCGGGCGCGACTGAGGACTCGAGACCGCTTGGCCATCTTTTCCCTGCTCGTCTCCCTGGTCGGGAGTCGCCTCCAACTCGGGCACTGGTTCTGCCTCTCCCTTTTGTCCTGTTGGGTAGGCAGACGTTGTCCCACCGCCATCATGGCGACGCATGCCTGGTCGGACCACGCGTGGAAGGGGTTTTGCTAAACCCCAAACCGGCTCTTCATTGGTCTTCCCATAGTCGGGATTCATGTCATGATACTCTGGATGAATGTAGATCGAGTTAGTGTCGGGCTCTCGTGGGCCGGCAAGAGAAGGAATCGTTTGGTTTGTCCGACTGGTCTGGTTTGTCTGTCGTCGTCTGAGTTGAGAGTATCGGGACGGTCGCTGTGATCCGGTGCTGCGATACTGAAGTGGTGGTCGCTGTCTGTCTTGTCTCATATTGTCTGATTGTTCATGGGTCCTTGACAACTCGTTTCTACTTTCTTGCGATGTATTCAGGTCATTATTTCTATCCTGACGGCCATCGGCCAGATCTTGCTCCTCCGGCATCTCGGATCTTCGGGTGTCTAGATTAGAACGCTAGGGAGGAAGAGGAAATGAAAAGGATGATGGAAGTGGAAGAGATAGAATTAAAATATATAAGCAGAGAATCGAATGAAACGCTAGCTTGGCATATAAAAAGAATTATATCATAACATCATCACCAATGATAATACAGGGTACGTTGATCGAGTTGAACACTAGCATAGATTCCCTCCTGCCTTTTCTACTATCTGTGGGGACCACGATATCCAAGAGCTTTTCTAGCATAGTACCTCTGAGAGTTCACTGAGTTATCTAATTATGATTGACGTTCCCTGATTATTTTCAGTGAGTCGCGTGGCAAACAACCCTATCGCGACTGATTGAGCGGATCCATGATGTCACGAGCTGCCCGAAACCCTTGCGAAAGAAAAACTTCAACATTCTTCTTGGCAATTAACAAACTGTGGCATCTACTTTTCCATAGACCTCTCAAAACATATCGAGCACCTTTCCTGGACGGCATCTGGGCTCTAGAATGTTCATCAGTGATATCTCGGGATGCCATCCCGGTTGGCAGCAGAATCCAGAGGTACACCAGGACTTTCAAGGAACCAGACAACACGTCGATCCCGACCTCTAGAACTTTAGCCCCTGTTGGATTAATGGTGAGCTTAACGCATATTGGTAAATGCCCCATGGCATCAACTGCTATCGGGATCGGGAAAAGTTCTCCCTTGAGCTTGAATAAGCTTGGTGGAGATCACGACGTAAAAATATCATATTTAGCCCTAGGGATCCACTGACGATCGCTACCTTTGGAACCGGCTGTCCATCCAGCCAATCACTACTGCTGTATCAGGCGGAATTTTCAAGCTTATCCCATTCAGGGTTTCAAATCCCCCAACTTCAGTCACCGATCCTAGCAGTTCACGTCGTGTACGCAAGTGCGTCCTCTTTCTAGAACCTCCGCATGCAAGGCGATTGCAGTGTGGTTACGTCATCGCATGTTAGTTGTTCACTGCTCAATATATTCCTACCGTTACTTGCTGGATCATGTAGCCAGGCTGTTCCATAGCAGCTGGCTTTTCAAGTCGCCGCTCTATGGCGCCCGTTGGGTGCCATCGACTACAATCGGGGTGTTGCCAGCTGGTTTTTGACGACCAGCACACTGTTGTGCTTCTATCGTGGTGTAGTAGAAGATCCGAGCATAAAACCAATGGACATGGTTATTAACGGGGTATCTTTATTACGCTAGTGTGAAGAAAATTATAGACGGGCGAGACAAACCTCAGTATAAACTTCGATTAGGTATCCAAAAGGCAACCAGCCGGGGAAGAGATGGCGGTACCTACCATCCTTATTGCAAACGCTAGCAGCCTACGGTCTACTATACGTGGTCCACAGGTCCATCCTGCGGCTTTAGCATACTCTATACAGTCAGTTTATTGGAGGTCGGAATTCCTCTTGTGCAAGGTGGAGATGCGAATGCTTGGCTTCAGGTACGCCCAACCTCAACACCTTATGCACCTTTTGCTTATACGGCTTAGTCATTATGCCTTATGCCTCCTCCATTGCATGTACAAAGCTCGAGATATTGTACGAAATTCATTTGACCCAATCCAATATCATGATGGAGAATGCCTATATAAATTATCAAGCGCTCCTGATCCTGGCGGCAAAGATTATAGAAACACACGACAGAAGTATTTATACCGCATTCCTAGGTATATATTCTTGTTCAGTAGCACTTGGACATTTCCTTTCAGATCCAGCGGTATACACCAATCGACATCATTTCTTTTGTGTAGGGGGGCCATCAAAACACAGTCAAAGCAGGTGAAGCGGGATCTCGGGGGGCTGAAAACCTCGTCTGAATGAAAACCTTCTGCATGCCATCTGCACGACGGTTGAATAAGTCATAGACCTTCTCCATATCGTTGAGGTCAAAGCGATGAGTGACCATATCCAATGGGCAGATTGTCCCTTTTTGGATGAGGGCGAGTAGTTCATTCCAGTACTTATGCACCGGCGCTTGACCATTTCCATTCAGGTGAATCCCCGTCTCCATCAAGGACCCAATATTAAAGTGATTGCACTAGGCCAAGGGTTAGTGATTGACAATGATATCAAAGGTCGCCACCTACATAGCCGGTATATATGCCGGTGACCCCACAACACCCGAAGCCTCGAACGGATTCAATCATCTCGTTCAAGAGCTCCGATGTGTCGTTCTCCATGCCTAATGTCCTCTGGATGGCGTGGCCCAACCCCTTTGCATACTCGCCAGCGGCACACTCAATTGCGATGTCTGGACCGCGCCCATCGCACATTTGTTTCAACATGGTTACCACTGTTTCTCCGCGCGGGAGTCTGGTGAAGTCAATCGTCTCCAAGTTCGGAACCTTCGTCTTCATAAAATCGAGCCGCCATCGTCCCTCTCCACCGTCAATCATGATGATTCGGCTGGCGCCATTCACAACTGCAAACTCCGCGGCCATCTGCCCAATAGGGCCTGCTCCCCAGATGGCAACGGTGTCTCCTTGCTTAACCCCGGTATCAACCACAGCATTCCACGACGTGGCCAATACATCGGATAAATAGAGCCCTTGTTCGTCCGGGACATCATCTGGCAACGGCAACAGGTTCACGTCCCCAAAGGGAACCCGCACAAACTCCGCCTGTCCCCCTGCAAACCCTCCGGTGAAGTGTGAATATCCGAACATACCTGCCGTTCGGCGTCCATAAAGAGCCTTTTCGCTCTCGCTGCCATTGGTTCTTTCACACAACGAGGATAGTTTCTTTTCGCAATAGTAACAAGTCCCACAGGCAATCTGGAAGGAAGCGACGGCTCGCTCGCCAATCTTGCGTTTCTTGACTTTGGGGCCGACTTTCTCCACAATTCCGCAGAACTCATGGCCCAGAATGTCGCCTTTGTGCATCTCAGGTATGGCCGCTGTAGAAGAGGTCAGGACTGCAGCTCAATTTGGGAGCCAATCACGTACAGTGAAGGAGATGAAGGTCGCTTCCACAAATAGTACTTCCTGTTACCCTCAGAATCACATCTTCATCGTCCACGATGGTTGGCCGAGCCGTTTCCACTGTAGTCAGATAAAGATGGTCAGTATCATCCTTTCTCTTCCAGACGACCAATGAGTTGTTTGCTAGTCTACTTACCGAGCTTCACTTCATTCTTTCCTTGCCACGTCAAGGCTTTCATTGTCTGGGTGGGGTCTCCGTGGCCAGTATCACCATAGTTGCTGATGTCCGTAGTGAGAGCCGGCTTTGCGCTAGACATTATTGCGAGAGGTGCAGTAACCCAAATGTGAAGAGGATGAGAAGGTTATTGGTTTGAGTATCTTTTCCAAGATATGTTGATAGAGGGTAGATTATATAGATATAGATAAGTGCCACTCACATAGCACTAGTACCACGCGCCTAAGACGTCACTCTGATGCCTTGATCTTCGAAACTTTCCTAGGCGCTATTTCCTGCAATATCTACATCATGGTTGCCGGACAAAGTATCCAACTTGCCTTTGGCATCTTGTAGTAAGACTATGTAGCCAACCAGGGATTGCTTTATCATTACAGCCCGCGATCACCGCACCGGATTGTCTTTCCGAAGGGGATCGATCGTTGAGTGTGCTCCTTGTGTCGGGTTCTCAGTTCCGCCGGGAAGCATCTGGCTATGCACTTGTTGTGCACCGGACTGTGAGCCTGGATACCGGTGTTGTCGTGGCTGTTGCATGGCGGGAGGAAACTACATGCGATGATGCAGTGGTCAAAGCTAGGAGCAATGACGTTTCCCCACAGTGCTTCCGCTACAGATCCACGGGTTGATTATAATCAGACTTTGCTTAGGAAGCTCACGTTGGCAAGAAACTTCTATCCCCAGTGGAACCAACCAAGGAGTGTCTGGTAGCCCCACAATTCAGAACTTTATGATGCGTCAAGCCAGATAAAGTCCATTCAAAAATACCCAGTGGGTCATTACTGCCGATCTGGCCGCTGATCAGTCGTTTCTGACGTGGGTCAAGGGCCTCGACTCTATCTAAGTGAGAAGTATCTCGGGCTGATTTAGGAAAGACTAATTGGCCAATGACCACTGACAATAACTGCCCATCAACGTTAAATCACAACGTATTCTAAATGATTGCCAAGAGGTCCAGGGTTTCCTAGATAGAAAGGCTAGTTAGATGTCTCTCCACCCAGGGTCCGAAGCAACCTAGGATATCTTAGCTTGGCAACTATATCTATATCGTAGGGCTAATGGGTATGATCTGGGACAATCATATCCAGTGCATAACATCCTTTGAGTCACTAGGGTAGACCCCGTTTCCCACCGCAATTACTGTCGATTGTCTTAAAGCAAGCCCTCCCCTCGGTACTTCGCTCAATATACTGATACGCACTCTTATGTCCTACACCACTGCAAGGTATCAGGAATACAAAACAACGTTTACGCAGTAGAAAATGGTCGTTATCACAAAGGCAGTTATCGCGTCCTTTGGCGGCAAGCTTCTGAAGCTAAGCCACAGGGCCACTTCGACCAGATGTGAGATGGCTTTCAACCTCTATCTTCCGCCGCAGGCTTTTGAGGATCCGCCGAGGAAAATTCCCGTCCTGGTCTATCTATCTGGCCTGACGTGTACCGCCGATAACTGCTCTGAGAAAGGGTTTTTCCAGCACGGGGCCAGCAAGAATGGAATCGCTGTGCTATATCCCGATACCAGTCCTCGTACGATTCCTCTATCCTTCCTGCCCTGTTATTTCCCGATGCACTTCTGATGCTCGAGCCGTCATTTGAAATTCAGCCGCATGATTATGGTGCTGAAATAACTGACACTTCATAGGAGGCCTCAACATTCCGGGAGAGAACGATAGCTGGGACTTTGGGACAGGTGCCGGGTTCTACGTAGACGCCACCCAAAAGCCTTACGATGAAGCGTACAATATGTATACGTACGTGAAAGATGAGCTACCCAATGTCGTTTTCCAGCACTTTCCCCAGCTGGATCCCGAGAG